GACTGTTGTGTTTAAGCAATATTCATTTGGTACTCAGGGGTAAAATATAAACCCAAAAAAATATTCCCCACCATTACACCACAATCAGCAGCCTGAATTGCTGATATATGTCAGGCTGGATCCTTGCTTTCAAGATGTTTGTGCCAAATTCTGACCCTACTGTCTGAATGTTGAAGCAGAAATCCATTCGACTTACCAGACCTGGCAATGTTGTCCATCTTCTATTGTGAAATTTCCATGAAGGGTTAACATGTTGTGCATTAAGATGAGTTTTTCTGCATGGCTTGGTTGTAACAAGTAGTCATGTACTTCAGTTTTTGTTGCTTTCCTTATAGTTCAAAGCAGTCTGGCCATTCTCCTCTGACATCAGCCGGGCATTTGTGTATCGAGAACCGCTGTTTACTGGGTAGTTCGCCTTTTTTTGGACCATTCCCTGCAAACTCTAGAGACGGTTGCGTGTAAAAATACCACTAGATAAGCAGTTTCCAAAATATGCAGACCTGTGTATTTGGAACCAACAACTTTGCCTTGTTGAAAGCAATTTAAATGCTGAGCATGTTGGCGTGCCCACAGTAAAGTTAAAGCATTCATCTTTATTTTTCATTAGATCGTTTTCAAGCTAAATATTTGTAGAAATATATTGGGTTGGCAAACCACAACCACATAGTGATTTCACCATTAGAGAATGCATCTCTGCAGACAGATGGAGAAAACCTGTAACCAGCAGATCATGAAATCTTAAACTGCCAATAGGATGCTGAAATCCAGAACGTAAAATCTGATACCATTACCAGCTCTCTTGTTTTACACAAGTGCGTCATTCTCAGTTGGAGCACATTTTGGGTTTTGAGGATGTTTTGGTTAAACGCTTCTCATTTGTGCAGTTGCCAAATCACAGTGCTTGGAGCCTTTAAAAGCACGATACTGAGTCATTCGAAGATCTGAGAGATTCATCCCTTAGCATCAATTTTGCATTTAGGATTAATGAGAAATCCAAAGATATATTTAGGTTCACAAGGAGTTAAAGGCTGCTTTACATCAAAAACTAGCAAAGTGATGTCAGCGCTTTGGGCATGATGTTTTTTGGTTGGCACAACATAAAATCAGAACTGTTTTCCACACAAGTTGAAACATCAGAGAGGCTTTTGATTCAAAGCAAAGCAAAGCAAAGAGATTATAAGGGTCATTCGGGCAGGGGGAAATAAAAGCTTGAATATTTTTCACCGAAAAGATGAATGATTAAAAATGGCTTTATTAGGGCAATAGATAAAAAGCTTACAGAGTTCTCTTTGTCTGAACATCAATGTAAAGGTCACCATCAAAGATAAGGTTTAGCAGTTGATACATTGCCATGTTCATTCTAAATCAAGTGAAAGAGTTGGCTCTCTTGCAACACAAGGGTCTATCTTGATCCAGTTCATTAAAGAAACGCTCCCTGAATCTTTAGTGTATCGAGATTTCTTTCTTTTCTTTTTTTTGTTGAAAATCATTGAATAGAAGATAACTCTTTACCCTGATGAGAAGAAGGAATGCAGAGCAGTACTTAAGCTGAAGAGCTTTGTGAAGCCATGATGTCTTGAGGAGAGACAAGGACAAAAAAACATTTGTCCACTGTCAAGGAAACTTGACAGTTAAAGTACTAGTTCTGCTATTAACTCTGATGAGACAAGAAAACAGACAAGAAAAAAGGCCAAAACCATTTTTAACTGTGGAAAGTAAGTGTGTAACTCAGGAGTGTAGCTGAACAACTCCTGTTTTTAACATTTTTCAGGTCGCTGGTTTGGTTTAATGGCTTGCAAATGTACTCTTTTGATTCTCCCAATATTTTCAACAAAAACATTAGCAACCAGGAATGTTAGGAAATGAATAAGCAGTGAAAAAAAAGCTTTACCAATGAAGCCAAATGTTTAAAATTAATCTGCAGCAGATGATGTGCAGAAGAACATGTGCAAAGATATCTTATACAGCAGCGATTCTGAATTGGAGTTATTTTTGCTGAGGTCAAGAGGTGCCCAAAATATTGTGGAAAAGTTCAGCAAACTCTAAACAATGTATCTAAATATATGTGTGTTTGAGATTGTGTTGAGTCGAGTCACTTTCAAAACTAGTTGGAGACCACAAAAAACAACATGGATACAAAAGGAAAAATGCAGAGTTTCTTGAATGAGCACTTCAACTCATCTTGCGGGGCTGTGTGTGTGAAAAAATGAGACAAATACGTGAAGTGATTCATCTCAATCTATTGAAGATTTCCCGCATGCAAAAACACAAGTGAAAAGCTTTCATTTGAAATGAATAGCCATTCATATGAGTGCACATCTCCAGAACCTGAAATAACCTGGATGAAAAAAAAAGCCATGACGAATTACATCCCTAAGTATAGCACAGAACACTGCAAGAGCAGCACTGTGGGAGAAGAGGAAGGTATCCGGAGAAGCAGGAAAGCAGGACAGTGCTGCGTTAAGTAAATTGGTTACAGAGCACAATGAGATCTCCTCTAACCAGTGTTGGGAGGAAGAAACTTTATCCACATCTGCCGAAGTCTCAGCTGGCCCGGCAGAGGCTCGGTTTTAACTGGATTAACAAGAAAAGCCAAGCTCAATAACTAATAGGCCTCTTCTTCTTCTCGCTTTACTCTCTTCCCCTCTATCCCCTTCCCTCTCCTTCTCTTTCTGTCTTGCCGTCTTCCTCTTCCTTTAAACCAAAGCAGAGAAAGATAATGCAGAACACTTTTATGCCTTCTACTGAATTAAACATGCCAGGAACAGCTTGTACTGGGTGCTAAAGCAGAAGCAAAGAGAGATGGAATATGAAAAAGGAGAATATATACAATTCCGCCCCTGCACAAGGGTCTCTGGAGGACTGCTGAACATTTCTTTACAATTAAAAAGATCTGTCGCAGATAGACTGCGCTGAGAAAAGCTAAACAGGACAGGCTTTTTTCACTAATTGGCCGGGTTGAAAAGGACTGTCAGTTGTTGTTGGGTGGAAGCTGCCAATCGCCAAGTGGAGAGGTGGCATAGTACTCAGAAAGACTCCTTAGAGACTTCCTACGCACCTCAAGCTTTCATTGTCAGAGCTGTAAATTCCATCTTGCCAATCTCTTATTCCTTTCACACACATTGCCATCTTTGTGCTGCAGCCAACCAATTGGGCTCCACAACCAACAAATCTGCCCATCTCTAACTCCAGGCTTGATGGTGAATAAATGACAGTGTTTCAAATGTTTCTGGTCTCAGGTGGTTTACAAAAAAAACCTGGAGATGTCTTCTCATCCTCTCTGCAGGAGCTGAGGTTTCAGTTGCTGTTCTGTCTCGTCTTTTCTGACTCTCAGTTTCTCTGATCTGAGAAGAAAAAGTCCTCCTTTCTCTCTCCTCACTCCAGGCCTATTTGGCATTCCCCAGGCGGAGCATTGAGCTACCACCCTCATTCTCGATCCTCCCCTCCCTTCGTTCCAGTCTCTTTCCCTCCGACAGAGCCAAGTGACCTGTTACAGTGTGCTTTGCTTAGCTTGTGTGCCGCACACACAGCAGCAAGGACGAGACTTTACAGGGGTTGCATTCAGGACCACAACCTCCCAGAGCACGCACCATGTGAGTCAGGGTGGCAAACAAAAGCTCAGAAGAGGACATTTGTAACAAGCATGGCCCCATTTCCAACTCACCGGACAGGCCAAGAGTAGTCCGATTCACTTAATATAAAAAAGTCATATTAGCATATTTTTAAATCATATACAGTAAATCTGAAAACAGAATTTCGATGTGTGATTTCTTTTCTTCTTCTTGTTAAGTTTCTATAAGCAGATGTTCTTGAGGGACGCTACAAAACTTTTTGCATCCTGTATAAAATTTTGATGTGTTTCTGGATGATGGAAAAGCACCTAGTATTGGAAGGTGCGAAATCAAACAGAATGCATTATTAGAACTGACATTTTTGGAGGTTGTCTGACTTGAACTGCGATTGCAAATCTTCCAGGTGAAAATGCAATGGTCTTTTCTCATTTCTTCATTTTGTTCCTGTTCGCCTGCCTTTTTTCCCCCCTGCCTGTATATTGTGCAGGTTCCAGAAATGAATCTTAAGAAGCGAGAAGGCTTACAGGAGAAGATGCCAGATAAGATGCACGGGTGTATCTTTTGTGAAAGTCTTTTTAACTGTGATGTATAAAAACAGGTGCAACATGGAGCTGGAAAACACAAACCATGTTTCTTTTGTTTTTGTAAGTTGTCTTATTTAACTGATATAAACTTTTGAAATGAAGCTAGTTTGTCCAGTTTCAATATATGCCAAATGCCTCAACTCGTCTCTCCTCTGGTCTCTTCCTTGTCTTCTTTGCTTGCATCTAAGGTGGCTAAGGTATGAAGAGAGGAGTTGAGGAAAGTAATTAAGCGTGTTACCTAAGGATGTAATTTTGCCTCTTCCTGCAAGCTTAGGTTTGGTTAATAAGTCTGCACAAAAAGTGATTACTGTATAATTAAATGTCTTTCTAATGCACAATGTCCCTTGATCAGTAACAGTTTACAAAAGTGTCATTTTAGTCACATTTTCCTCACTTCTTTGCATGCACATGCAGTTAGAATCAAAACTGTTAGAATATGTTTAAATAAAAGGTCTAAATCCAGAGGTCTGTGGATTGAAAGCCATTATCCAGATACAAATCCCACATTAATGCCAGCTTTAAATGGGGCATTGTGCTGCATGGCAAGCAAAAGTATTACATGCTGTGTAAGCAGATGTAACAATGTGCAAAAGTATGAACTTAAAGGACACTATTGTAACACATAGAGCGTACTGCTCCTTAAAATGGCAAAACCCGTGGGTCCTGTGGCCCGTCTGTTAAAGAGGCTAAATATCCAGAGCAGATGCACTGCACTACATTGTGCTGTGAAATGTGCTGAGTTCTATGAAAACCCTAAAAGAGTTGTGAGAGTCTGATATTTATAGTCTAATAAGACAGCTCTGCTTAATTAATTACCAGTTTTTCCACAGGGAATTATCTCAGAAAGATTTTCTTTTATTGAAAATGGGTTGTGCAAAAACAAAAGTTATGAATGATGATGAGTTTTCTCACTAAGGGTGCATCCATGGTACAAGACTCCGGGACTAATTAGGCGCAAAGTTGTGATCACAGTCAACTGTTTAAAATTATGGCGCTGTGAGAACCCCTAAGAGAAAAGATGCGTCGAGGCATGCATTGGCCAAATTGAGGGTAAATATGCTGGAGGGGGATGAAAGCGGGTGCCTCCAAAAAAGTTTCATTTTCAGGGTGAAAATCATTAACACATTATACAGTAAAAAAGGAGGAGGAGGGGCTTATTTTCACTTGGAAAATACAGAAATGCATTAAAAAATATCTCTAAGTACTGAATAAGATACATTAGACGATACAGTGTATCTGAAGCATGACAATCAGAAAATGACTTTTTCATATTTTGGAGTTCCAGAGTTTAAAAGTAAGGACCTTGGAGCATGCATGCACCCGACGGAGTAGAAAATACACTTAAATACTTAAACCCAAACTTCTCTCCAGGGATACAATAAACAAGTCCTACTACATGTGGTACATGTGACAACCAAAAGAACACCATGGCTGCTTCTGAGATTAATTGGCAACTTGTCAAAACACACTGTGAGGCTTCATGAAATGTCTGCACTGAAATGCTTTGTAACATAGCAGATAGGACTGTCTCAATTACAGAACAACAGATTGCACAGCGCATAATGTTCAACAACAATCAACAACAAGGGACCTGCTCAGGACTTGGGTGGGAGTAGAGCTGATACAGTCTTCTTAAAAACACACGCGCACACACACACACCAAAAAAAATCAATAAGGTTTTGACTTTTAAATATCTCCGCTTTCATTTCACAATCAAGTCCATGTTCAGATCTACAACCCACAGATATTCCATGTTGGGCAATAATGTCTTCGTTATTCATGACAAAATACTCTTACAAAGCACTTTAGACATAAAAAATAATCATAATGAAATACGATAGATTTACAATGTAAATTTGAAAAATAACTTTCTATAAACGGTCCGCGCTCTAAATGTACTGACTGCTCCGTGATTAACTATAATCACATTCCTTAAAGATTCCCTTTTTCTCATAAATATTTCTAAAATACTCTATAGTGTAAATGACTGTTAATACCAAACTGTTTTTCATTTCTGGATTTACTGACTGTACTCTCAGCTGCAAAACAAACACCACCCGAATCAAACACAGCACATCTATAGTAATCCAGTGCGTGTTTGTGATGTAGCATAGGGAGCTTGAAAAGCAGAAGATGTGCTCAGTTCAGCTGCTGAAGCATCTAGGCACCACTCCTCTATTACGCTTTAACTGTGTCCTTGTTGGCTGTCGTTGCATCTCAAAAGACGTCTGTCTGAGCTGTAAGATTTCCCTGCCCAGATCTTCCAATTGTGCCATCGCAAGCAGTTTGGCATAATAAAGACAAGTGATTCAAGACTTAATTAAAAAAAAAACACACACATACACACAAAAGACCATTTGGATGTCTAACAATAAAAATATGAGCAGGAAAAACCTTTGAATCAATAAGGCAAAAATGTTCCAACAATATATGAGCTCAGTGTCATTTTCCAATTCTTGTTATGTCTTAACAAATGTGTTGGAAAAAATCCATTCTACCAACAGTTCAGAGAAGTACCTCAATAAAACAAAGTCAAACAAAAATCATGAAAATATGTAACCTTTGCACGTTCAAGAAATTCCCCGGCACTATTATCTTCCGGAAAAGTGAAGCATCTGCGCCCCGTCAACAGATGGGTCACTTATTTTAACCAGACATGTACCACTACCTGTACTTCTGCAGTGGACAAGAAACAAAGGCTTGAGAGTTTAGGATTTAATTTTGAATGTTTTCACATCCTCTCTTGAAATATATCTTGGACTGTGTCTTTCTGTCCAATCAGAGCTCCGAACACAGAATAATCCGCTACATGGCGTAAGAACATTCGGCGGGACATGGAAAATGAATACATGAAATACAGCAGCCCCCAACAAAGCCGGTGAATATTTTGCCTCATTGAATGCGACCCAGATAGGAATATAAATACAAGTTATCCCCTTCTCCCTGCACACAGTCATTGCGGCAGTCTAAGCCGCCCATTATGTAAATAAAGAAAGCCCAGAATGAGAGGGAGAGATGTAATGTGTGTGGGACAGAGTGAAAGGACAATATACAAATCGCTTAGAATTCATGTGGAACAGAACGAGATGGCGTGGATAGAAAAGGGGGGAAATAAAGATGGCGATAACACGGAGAAAACTAAACTGGAAAGGGAAAAAGTTGAGTCGGAAACAAATAATCTTTTTTAAATTCATTAAATGAGTCATTACCGATCCAATGTGGAACTGTGTGAAACCCCCGAGTGTGTCGGTGCATCTTTTCCTTAGCGAGATCAACACCATTACACAACAGTAACAACAACAACTAGAACAACAACAACAACAATAACAACAACTGTGCTATCGTGAGACGGCGCCCAATATATAGATGATGCACATCATTAACACCACAGCCAGCCACACATTAGCACATACTGTTAAGTCTGTTATGTTACTCAGTTTGGTGGCTCTCGCTTCAGCGGCACCCATCAGGAAACCATGTGGTGTCGCGGGGTGCAGCGGGAACCCGGAGTCACAGTAAGCCCAAACAAAGTCGTCTCTGGGATTAACAGAAACAAGTTTGGCCTTTTCAAGTTTCGAAATGCCTCGACTGAAGTCAGAAGAGCTGGCATCTCCATCGCGTCAGCAAGATCCACAGAAGCCTTTCGGACAGTTTAACACAGAGTTCAACGTGATGACGATTTTTCTTTTCTTTTGAAGCAGAAAGGCGAGTTTTGGATAGTGGTGATTTTTTCTTAAGTGATTATGGTGCTTCAGATTTTGCTGATTACATTTTCTGGTAAGGTATAAAATACAAACAGTTTAGTCACTCAGCACATAATCACACAGCAAAGCTGAAGAAACAAGAACGTAGCAATAAGCAGCATTGCGTCAGAGTTACTGTAGCTTTTTTTGCTCTTGGCAGTATTTTTTTATTCCCGTGACACTGAATCCAATCTTCTCCATGACACAGTTAAACACAGTCACATATTCAGCCACAGTGCACTATTTCCACTGCAAGTCCTCCTTTATCAGCCTAACAACAACTTTTTATTATTTTTCGCTAAATCCACCTTTCATCAAAGTACACGGTCACTGTCAGGCTGAGAGGATATAACTGATGGCAGATCTTTAATCAGGTTGAATGATAAGCAGGCAGGTGTCTAGCTAATGGAGGTGATGCTGATTTGTTTAGAGGTGAAAGGGGCTGGCTCGGATGCACCACTTCCTCCACTACATCTCCTTTTCTTATCTTCAGCCTTTGCCGTTTCCATCCGTCCCCTTCTTCCTCAGACGTAAATGGCAGTCCGGGAAATAACAGAGCCGTCTCTCTGAGACTCCATGTCGTCGTCCAGGTACACATCCATTTCTTCGCCAGCGTGGCCTCGGTGGACGTGATAGGCTGGAGGCAGAATGTTTCCGCCTCCGCCCGCTCCTCCAAATCTGTCGTATCGCTCCTCTTCTTCCTCCATGCTGTCATCGAGGTCAAACTTCCTCCTCTCAGCTTCATCCATCTCACTGCTAAGAAGGATGTCATGGGCAGTAGGAGCGTTGCCGGTTGAGGCGTGGTGGAGATGATGATGGTGGTAGTCGTTGGCCTTTTCTGTTAGAGTTCCCGTGGCATCGCAGCCCTCCCGATACGTGTAGATGGGCCCGTTGTTGTTTGTGCCAGTCCCATTCTTGCTGCTGTTGTTACCGGAGTTGCTGAAGAGCAGACGGGCTTTGTTGCCATAGTCTCCGCCATTGCTTCCACCGCTGCCTGTTGCAATGGAGTCCCCACTGCTGGGGTACCCGCGCCTCTGCTGCCGGCGGCTGCGGGTCAGGAGGACGGCAATGAGCGCAACAACCAATAGCAGAGCCAGAAGGGAGCCGATCACTGCGCCTGCCACTACACCGGCACTGGATGGATCCTCCAAGGCTTCTGCAGAGGGGATGAAGGGGTTGGAAGGAGGGATGGAAAAATGGGTGGAGGAAAAGAAAAATGAAGGAAATGACGGCTGTTTTGGAGGAGGTATTGACAGTTCTTCTCTTATTGTGAGTGTGCTGTAGTGATAGGAGTAGTGTCTTCTTCTACGTGTGTTACAATCCTCTTACAAGTGTGTGGTAATGTTCTTCTCAGTGTAATCCCTTGGTGAGGGTGCAGTCAGTCATTGCTGGGATCAGGCTGAATGGGACTCATTCATTCTCTCCCAGAGGCTTGTTGTGCTGCATTTTGCAGACATTTTGCTCTATATGCATTTCAGTCCAGCTGCTGGCACTTCAGTTTTTGCCGCCCTTCCCCCCTTTGCCAGCTGGGGCAAAGCCTTTACTACTGAGATGATCCTTGGTTCTATACTTCATGTTGGTATGAGCCAGGTTTGCCTCTCCACACGTTTCAGTTGAAGATTGAAACAAAAATGAGAGAAGGATTTAGAAAAAAAGCGGTTTATTTCGAGTATTGTGCCGACTTTGCCGCAGGTTAGAGGTTTAGAGCCAGCAGAGTCACACAGACAGACACACAGAGACAGATACACAGGACAGAGAGGCAGAGGAGTTACTTGGAAAGGGTTAAATAAGAGCACAGTCATTACTGTTAAGTGCCACAATGCTTAATCCCTTCTATATTTACCCTCTCTTTCTTTCCTACTCTCAATTAAAACCCCTCCTTATTCCTTTCCTTCCTGCTTATCATCCCATCCTCTGCTTGAACCGCGTCCTTCGTCTGCCTCCCTCATTGGTCAGCTAGTCAAACCACAGGGAGAACGATCGCCCGCTGTCAACCCAGGACCAAATCCAGATCGCACTGATCAGCAGCACACGAAGGTAAAAGGTTCACACTGTGGAGCAAGACTCCTACCAGGACATGTTTAAAAGGATTCTATGTAGGAGTATAAGAGAGAGAAAAATGGGTAGGATTTGTACGGAAAGATTCACGCTGGGCTAAAAAGTGGAGAGAGGAAAGTCTCAAACCAGGAAAGGAGATGTGTTGAGTATTAGTGCAAAACTGCACAAGGCCAGCTAATATGTTTCTCTTTTCTTTTATAATTTCTTGTCTGCGAATCACATTCAGATATTTCTTTGGGGTGCAGCAAGGGCAGCGAAACGTGGAACAGCAGGGGAATCTGAGCCCCTTCCTGTTTTATGCAAATAACAGCAATGTACTGCCAGCACTCCTGGCAAACACAGCAGTGAATGCCAATCAAACAATCTGAGGTTGGCTGAAATGATCATTGTGTGGGGTTACATGCCAGGGCAGCGCCACTGAGGCAGTGACGTTCTTTTTTCTTTCAGTGAAATCACATTGGACATCAAATAATGATGTGTATGGAGCTAGCGAGCAGGAGTTCTGCTAACAAAACCAGTGGGGGGATGTCACTATAAGTGAGCCTGGATAGAGAGCCTGTGATTCATACAAATTGTTCATTCTGATGGTGTAGGAGAAAAAAGAGTGGAGATAAAAGCAGAGAGGAATTGAGCAAGAGGAGAGAAAAAGGACTAGGAAGAGTGTTTGGGAGAGAGACAGAGAAGAGCAGACAAGAGGGGAAGGGAGATAAAAGGAGAGGTCTCAGTTTGATTTCAAACACACTTGCTCTGGTCTCACATGGGGATGCATTAGGGTTATGCCAGGGTGAGACAGACGGGTTGGGCGAATGAGGCGGGGCTCTAGGGACAGGATATGATGTCTAAATTAGGGGACAGTGTCTGGTAATATCCAATTGAAGTGACAGAAGGCATTAAGGATGATGAATCCAACTTTCCCTGTCCTAGTTTCCTCTCTCTTTGCAAACTTACAGATTGGCATGGAAACACAACATGTGGGCCAAAGTGTTATTTATATTTATTGTGCCATTTATATTTTAAGCATTAGTGGCATTTATCAAGTGCCTGAGTGAGAGACAGCTGAATAATGGCCTTTTGTGGAAGGTCTTTGGTGGCTGCCGTCCTTCTGTTAATCAAGTGCTTAAAAATCTATTATTCTGTATAGGCTATAAAGAACAATGCTCCTACAAAGGCCCATTAGAGCTGGCATGTTCATTTTTCATTAAGTCTGAGGTCACATGCAGGAGCAGCGTGATTATCTTTCCAATTTTCTCTCGAAGTCCATAGCTAAGGGGTGGTGGCTGATATTTAAACAGCAATGATCTCGCGGATGGGAACTTTGTTGCTTGTTTGACAGCCGGATGCCAGTCGTCTTGTTCTTTTTTGCCCTTTTCAGACAGGATATGTAAAACTGCTGGCTTCATCAATCTGTTAAAGCGGTGACATTCTGTCATTCGGACATAAATCATGTTGATGTTTTGCACTTCATTCAGCACTTGTACTCGCTATTAAGCGTTGTCAGCAGCGACTCTGGTAAAGTGTAGCCACACTTTTGAATGTTTAATTCTCTTCAAAGCTGTCACTTGAGCCTGTGCATGTGTGCGCTGAAGAGATGAGTTGCCCTGATCCTTGTATGCAAGACAGAGATCGCTCTTCTTGATTTGGAACTGGGAAAATGCATCACAATGCACGTGACCATGCCTTAATTTTATTTGGTGAGATAATGTGCTATTATTTGCTTGTTGTGCTTGTTAGTGGCATTCTCCAGTAAGATAAGCAATTCCCTAGTCACGGTGTTTGTTCAGACGTGTGTAAATGTAGAGAGCGATATGTAAATTTTACTATGCGGGGCTGCTTTTACAGAAAACGAACAGCTCATTAAGACATGAAGCCAACACACATAATTTTGCTGTCAGATTAATGAAAAGGACTAAATGTCTGAAAGGTCATTTTGAGTAGGGGAACAGGTTCAATTTAATGAACACACTTAAAACCAGCTGTCGGTGAACCACGGGGAATTTTTGGCAGGGAAAGCCAAGCAACATTTCTTTTTTTAGAGGTTAATATATAATTATATATTATACATTTTACAATTTTTTATATATTTTTTTGTAAATTTCTCTGTGGCTTTCTCAAATGCACATTGTAAAACAAAAGCATAAACTTATGCTCACTGCACGAGTGTTTTACCAAAAAGATCATAGCATTAAATCAAAGCAATGAAAAAACAGGGTTTGTTTGACTTAAAAATGGGATGGACTGTGCTAAAAAACCTTGTAGGAGATGATTAATCTTCACACAGAACCAAAGGGCGGCCCACAGACCTGTATGAAAATCACCATGCAGGTTTTTAAACTCCCATTTTCAAGTTTGTCATTTTGGCCTTTGCCGTTTTGGTTGTTATCACATGATGAGCAAGCAGTGGATCACTCACTGACTAACCAAGGAAATGATCATCAGATAAGATAAGATAAGTGTTTGGGATGACAAAGTAATAAGGAATGTGTTTAGTGATAGAGGAAGTGAAGTGGGAAGCACAGAGATCCCTTTAGGCATATTTTGGACCTCTGGTTGCAGCTGCGGTGAATCTGACTTCATGTTAGCTTAGTTAGACATGAAGATCCCTACCACACATGAGTCCTGAAATTACTATGAGGTGGAGAGGAAACGACCAGATGATTAATGTGACTGGATCTCGACACAATACTGTACGTTTTTCTTCAAAAAGTCAAGTTTTGATTCCTCGATGGACAAGTTTTACACATGGACTTTTTAACTTACTATCAGATTTAACTTTTTGTTGCTATAACATAGCACATTTATGCTGGACAGAGCATGGTAAATTGGTAGAAGTGACAGGTGAATCACTAGGATAAGTACATTTGATTTCATAAAGACACCAGGATAGTGAATGGCTTATAAAATAGGTAGAAGTGTATTTATCTTTAATGTTCATTTATCAGATTTAGTGTTTCTCCAGGCACTGTCTGAAATCATTTTGCATGATCTGAAACACTAATGGATCCCATCAGCTCTGACAAAAAACGTGCCAGATGTATGATCAACATGACTGTCAAATTCTTGTCAACTGCCGCTTTAGTAAACACTTCTCTGCAAGCATATTTCCTCCCAAAAAAGTGGAAAATAGCAAAGACCGTTAGCTAGAAAATAGGCCATGCTTGTCATCCTTATTTCTCATCAACAGAGGCAGCCTGCCTGCATTAAGAAGCACAGTGATAAATGTCATAGAGAGAGGCAGGGGGGCTTATATCAGTCTCTGTATTAGTGTCATGTACATGGAGGAGATTAAGGAAGGGGGAGAGTAAAGGAAAGAGAGAGAGAAAACCATGAAAACTACCCATTGCTACTCAGTTACACTCACTGCAGTAGGGATAATCTAAATGAGAAGATTTAGGATGTGAGGAGGCAAGGTGGAAAGAGTTAGAAGGCCTGGGGCGAGGAAAAAAAACAGAGGGAGGGGGGGAAATGGTGTAAGGCGTATGAAAGTAGTAGAAACTTAATAACCTTTCATGAATCTCCTTCACCACACCTCTCCTTCTTTTCTCCTTGTTTTGATTCTCAGAACTGAAGGCTCCACTCATACAGCACGAGCCAGAGGCCATCACTGTTGAAGCTCCACAGCGAGGAGTGATTCTAATTAAAAGCAGCTTTTGGTCAAGGACATGTAAAAGCGCATCCATGAATATACCCCAAAAACCCTAACAGCCTCCCAAAAAAGGCAAAACAAAAATGAGCAAAACCATTGTCAGTGACAGAGCATCTGTCTGACATTTAGTTTTTTCCACTAAGTGATTCCTGCTGAATTGTGGGAAATGTTGATGCAAGTTGATGAAGAATTTGAAGAAATTCACATATGACTAAATTCAGATTACAAAAAGTCAAATGGGTACCCAGATTAGGACCACATACAGAAGTACCAGCTTTTTATTTTTCTGAATTCTTTAAACAATCAAACAGAGTTCCTCTGCTCTCATAGAGTTGCTCACACTTTCTGATGATCTTTTAATCATGTGCATTTGATTAGCAGCACTTGGTTGCTATCAGGAATCAGTAAGGGTGTATTTAGTTTTTGCAGAGATCTACGGTGGCCCTGAGAGGCCA